TCGCTGGCCAATTCATTATACTCTTCTACCTTTGCCCAGCCAGAGGGGCATGTGTCAGCCAGTCTTATCAGTTTCTGTCGATAGTGAAGCAGATCAACCGCTTTTGGAAGTGGACACTTCACTTCTGGAGAACTGTTCTTATGGTCTGCCTCCGTCAACTGGTCCAAGACAGACTGGTTTAAATTATACTGTCTCTCAATATGCCCTTCTCTTTTCCATGATAACTGAGTATTAGTAGCAGATTTTATCTTAGCTTCAAAACTGGCTGAAACCTCAGCCAGTCTGTCTTCGAGCAACCTGGCTTGATGAGAAGTTGTTGAATGTCTTCCTTCATAGCGGGCGAGCACGTTGTGAAATCTGAGATTGAAATACTAGAGAATGTGATGTAAATAGCAAAAATTTGAATGGCGGTCACAGGGGCATGCAAGCGTGAAGGCCTAAACCAGGCCAGACCCAGTCTTTATATACCCTCTCTAGACCACTCGACCGTTACTCTTATATAACAAGGATAAATTCAACTCATTCTAATTCCCTACGGTGCTCAACCGAATGAATAAACATTTTCTGGATCCCAGTAACACCCACGTTTTGTATTTTGAAAAGTTTCTTCATGCTGAAAAATACTTTGGCCTGGTCAGAATTATCCTGACCCTTATTCTGGTACCAGATGCATTAGGGTGTACAGCAGGGTATTGCGCAATCATTCATTTTTGTCCTCTTATTCCTGAAGTTTCATTAAAAGAACAGTTTGTCTACAAACAGGAAGGCTGTTTTGTTTTCAAAATGAGCCAAAAAAAAAACAAATTAAGAAACCACACTGTTTCAGCCATTGCCCAAAACAGATAAGAACCAAACAAAAACAAACACGCACACACAAGAAGAAGAAAGGCTTTTTCACACAAAGCGAATAAAAAAATTGTGAAATTCACAATAAAATCATGGGATGACATCATCTTTCTGTGTACACCTTGGGAGCAGGGTAGATATTCATACAATGTTTCAGTATTATACATTGTAGTGCTTTTAGGAAAATTTGCAGGGTTTTTGAAGAGAGTTAACAATGTTTTTGATCGGCGTCACGAAAACGTCAAGATAACCTGATACAAGGCATGTATTCCAAAAGTAGCCAAAAAGAAAACAAATTAAGAAACCACGCTGTTTCAGCCATTGCCCAAAACAGATAAGAACCAAACAAAAACAAAAAACTTTTGTACCCCAAAAGGAGGAAAAGAACAAAAACATAGTGAAGAAATACATCACTGCTCACCGTTCAGTGTCTGATCACCTACATGTATTCAATTTTGTTACCAGTATATTTGTATATTCACTTAATAACCAGATCAGCAGCATCACAGGGCTTTAACCACTTCCTGCTGGGGTGCCCGATTTAGGGCACTTTTTGTTTATATGCAGAACCGGTGTGCCCGGTTTTGGACAAAAGAGCTGGTCTGTGGAACAAAAGACTGTACTCGGAACAAAGGACCAGCTGCCTGGAATTGCCATCATTTATCATGAATGTCCATAGCCTGAGCGCAGCGCACGCCTGCTACCCACCAGCTGTTTTGCAACCATAAGTTCCCTTTGTACCCCATGATCGTCACCGCAATTTTTCGTTGGTAATCTGCACCCTAAAACGTTGTGTACTGCAGTATAGGAAGTTGAATATTCATGCCATCGTTGGTGCTTGGTATGAACCGACAACATCATCAAATGTAGTGTTTGCGCAGTTGCTTTTATTAGGCTGTATACCCGAAGTGTTCATGTGCAGTTGTTGCCCTTATCAAACGCTTTCTTCTGGACTTCTTTTAGGAATAAATAGCCAAGCTGTTTGTAAGATTTTGTGTTTTGTTTGAATCATTTTTTT